CAAATCTGTGTTTTTAGGCCATTGAGATGGAGCTGAGGAAAATGGAAGTGGCCCAGTCAAACAGACAGGTATCCCTCCTCACCTCCTTCATGCCGGACTCCTTCCTCCGTCATGGTGGAGATCACGACTGCATTCTGGTCCTTCTGCTCATCCCCAGGCTCATCTGCAAAGTATGGAGCTGTGTGTGTGTGTGAGAGAAGTGTACAAGGATACAGCAGTAGAATCCTGCTTACTGTTATTACTGCCATTTTTCTGTGCCTAGGTTGTTCCTATAATTAAGGCTTCTGTGTGTGTTTGTGTGTGTCCTTTGGTAGGCTGAGCTGATCAGTAAACAGGCCCAGGAGAAGTTTGACTTGAATGGGAACTTGGCTCAGGGAACGGGGCTACGAGGACCTCCAGGAGAACAGCGCAGTTTCGCCTCAGGACTGGTCTACTCCCTCAATCTGCTGCAGGCCATTCTGCACAAATACGAACAGTAAGCGCCGCAGCTACATCACAGATGAGTCAGATGTAAAATGTGCTGTTATCAGAGAATTTGGAAGAATTGTGTCCAGGCTGCAATAAAAGTAGAATTATCATTTTTTGCAATACAATCTCTCCAGAATATGAATCATCTGTGGCTGTGATTTTTGGAAACGTGATTCAGTTACAAAATTGGTCTCGTCTGTTTCTTTTCCTTCGAGGGCTCTGAATACCTGCAGCGTGGAGGTCTTTAAGCGCATGGGTACACTCTACTCTGAAATGAACTTCCATGAGCGCTCTCTGGATTATTTCATCGACCTGCTGCATAAAGATCAGCTCGATGAGACCGTTCAGGTGGAGCCTCTGACTAAGGCCATCAAGTACTATCAGGTAACAAAAGAATGCATTTTATATAAACAGTATATTTAAGATCTTACCGGGGTTGGATCAATCTTCTAAAGAAACGTACAAAAAAATTCCAATTCAATTTCTTAACGTCACGATTTGTGCAAATCCTTCGATGTTCATCTTAAAACTATTACGTGATGGTTTTAAATGAGTCTTTTGTGTTACAACTGCTATCAAATAAAAATGTATTCTAACCCACTATGTTCTTGTATATGTGTGCAACCAATCTACTCAATGAAATGGACATTAAAACATAGACAACCATTCATTTTAATAAATTATAATCTTTTCTCATACAAAGTTTCTTACTTTTATTTTGTCTTCCAGCAACTGTACAGCGTCCATCTGGCAGATCACACTGAAGACTGCACAGTGCAGCTGGCTGACCACATTAAGGTACTTGAAGCTTCTTTGTTATAAACAGTTTTACTGAGTACAGAGAACTTCTTTCCCTCTGAGAATGTTATCCCAATGATGAGCAAAGTAAAACGGAAATGAGAGTATACCAATAGGGTTTCCTAACGTCACCAATCCCATCCTCTCACCTCCAGTTTACCCAAAGTGTCCTGGACTGCATGGGAGTGGAGGTCGCTCGTCTGCGTGCCTTCATGGGAGCAGGTCAGGAGAGCTCTGGCCTCGCTGTCCTTCTAAAGGACCTGGACACTTCCTGCTCTGATATCAAACAGTTCTGTAAGAAGATCCGCCGTCGCATGCCTGGAACAGATGTAGCTGGAGTACCTGCTGCTCTCAACTTTGGACCACAGGTATGGGATACAGTATAGACAAGTTAAGGCACTCGGTAAATGGCTGTATGAGAGTAGAGCACTGTACCAGTAAAGGGATAGTTTGGAGTGGGGTTGTATGAAGTACTACAGTAGATGTTTAGTCGGCACGCCCCCGTTTTGGAAAATGTGACATGATTTATTAAAACACTGTCTAATTACCATTGACCCACTATTTGACTGTCATGTCTCCCATGTGAGGTGTCAGAGTCGCTGACGGAGTGCAGGCGCCAGCAGACCCGTGTGGTGGCTGTGCTGCAGGAAGTGGCTGCAGCTGGAGGTCAGATGATTGCTCCGCTGGCCGAACAGGAGGGGCTCAACCCTCTCAAACTGGAGGATATTGCCTGCAAGGCTGTGGAGCAGGTAAACTATCAGTGGTTGGGGATTATTCTATCAAGAATTTAAATACATTAAAGTTGTCAGAAGTTTACTGAATTGATTACACTTTCAGCACTACAGTAGAAATAAAGTAAACCATGATACAAATTTCAACAAACTGTCTGATTCTTGCTGAACTTATTGTTGTTTTGGGACAAGTAGACATAGGTGGTTGGTTTTAGGTTAAAGCTGTTATTGTACTATCTGAATCTTCACTCTTTTCTACAAGGTGTATGGTTCTCGCGGCCTAAATGGACCAGAATGCCTGCGTCAGTCCTGCAGCTCCATCATCACTACCATGAACAAGATGGCCACAGCCATGCAAGAAGGAGAGTACGATGCTGACAAACCACAGGCCAAGGTATGCCAGGGCGTTTTCTGATTGATTAATAACATATTTCTGCCGTTGATCACGTCTTCCCTGTTCCAATTCTTACTATTTCATCCTTCACATCCTCAGAGTCTTCCAGTGGAGATGAGAGCATCCACCGTTAGGGCCGAGATGACTGACGCTGAGGGTCTCGGAGTTAAACTAGAAGACAGAGAGACCGTCAACAAGGAGGTCAAGAAGTCCCTGAAGATCAAGGTGACACACTCAAGCAAAAAATCACTCAACTTTCAGTTCTACATAAGTCTGTTTGAAATAGAAAGAATCCGTAACAGAACAGGCATAACTGAGGTACCTCACCTCTTCCCAGGGTGAGGAGCTGAGTGAGGCCAACGTCCGTCTGAGCCTGCTGGAGAAGAAGCTGGACACCTCCACCAAAGACGCGGATGAACGGGTGGAGAAGATTCAGACCAAACTGGACGAGAACCTCGCCCTGCTAAAGAAGAAGGAAAAGTAAGAACGACAAAGAAGCAAACGGAAGAAATGATCGCATTTCAACACACTCTCCCGCGCACTCACCTTCTTTTCTCCTCACCTGCAGGGAGTTTGAGGAGACAATGGATGCCCTGCAAGCTGATATCGACCAGCTGGAGGCGGAGAAGGCAGAGCTGAAACTACGCATTAATAACCAATCGAAGATGACCATCGAAGGCCTGAGAGCCCCGTCTGCCTCTGGAATTGCCTCCATTGTTCAGGGATCTGCAGGAGGTGAACTACTATGTGGTTATGAGATTGAGATGTTATGAGATTGAGATGTTGCCATTTTATGTTTGATAAAAAGTGCGATGGCTTTTAATTCAACCCTCTGAATAGAAATTTTAACAGCACTACCACAACTACAGCTGATAATGAGATATGTTTTGCCTGTAATTGTACCAGTGTACAAACACTAAATACAGTATTCCTACCAGACACCCCACTGTCAAAGGAGAAGCACAGCCTCTCATGATGATTGCATGTCTCTCACCATTCTCTTTCTCTCTCCAGCAGGTCTGCCTCCATCCCTGGCTGGACCGGTGCAGGTGGTGGACTCCCCTCTCCTCAGGCAGCAGGTGGAAGCCCAGAGACTGGGCATTAAACACCTCAAGAATGAAAACAACAGACTCAAGGTACACTGGTGTTGGAGTTAGTATTATGCCAGGCTGTCTATAAAGTTTGGTATTGTTGACTTAAGAGTATATCTTACAGGCGGAGAAGATGAGAGCCCAGCTGGCCTCCCTGCCCCCACTCTGCCCTCCCAAACTACCAAAAGCTTCTAAAGAAAGTTCCATGCCACCAGATGGCCTAAACACAGGCATCTATCGCAGGACCGACCAACTGCTGGCTACCCTGCTCAAGCTGAGTTCAGAGGTTAAAGTGGTGGACATCACAGGAAAGACAGCAGGTGTGTGTTTGTGTCTCAGTTAATAGGCTTTCTTCTCTGCGTGTGCGCTTGTTGCCGTTTTTAGCAGAGTGTCCCGGTTCATTTTCTGTCTTTCCTCTGCTGCGTTTCTTGCAGTTAGTGCCGGCGCACAGCTGATGGAGCAGACAGCTCGACTGCAGTATCTCAGTGATGCTCTGGACAAACTCAAGGTGACAACTTCAGATTCATATTCTATTCTCATGTCAATAAGCTGATTCTAGGAGCAATACAAAACCAAACATTTTAATTTCTTGGTTTCAGGGAGAAGTAGCTGAACATGTAGTCTCAAATCAGTCTGGGGCTAAGGCTTCCTCTGACTTTGCCACCTTCCCCGTCTCCGGTTTTGTTAAGGTAAAACCATACAGTACATACAGTCACCATCAGTCCCAATACTTCCAAGAAATGGCACATTACATTATGTGTTGTTTCCTAGGCCAAGGAAGAGAAGCAGGGAGGAACTGTGTTTGTCGGACGTGTCGCCATTCCATGCACCCGCGGACAGGAACAAGTTCATCGCCTCGTCCTATCACAGCAGCAGCTGCAGAAAGTGCACCGTCTCCTCATGGTCTAAGTGAACTGCCAGGATTGACACACATTAAGAAATGCTTTTGCTCTCATTCCAATCTTCCTGCATTCTCCTATATTTATCTTTTTGCTTTTGACCAGTCTCAGGAAATTGTATCCAATAGTTGCAAAGTAACGACTAAAGCACTAATACAATTGAGGCGCAGCAGTGACTTTATATTGGTGTTTTGAGTGACGTTCAAAGGGGTTTGACTCCTGAATGTCACCTTATGAAGGAGTCATGTTTTCACTGAAACTGTTTGTATAATAACTTAGTGAATGGAAGAAAGCTAGCTACGTCACTTTACTGTACTCACGCCCATTGATGTTTTTCCCTTTGTGTCTTTATTTGTAATAATTCAGACAATAAAAGCAATTCACTTCAGACCAATAAACATCGTTGGTGTGATGTCGGCTTATGAAATATACCTGTATATCATTTGTAGTCCAATAAGATCTACTGCGAGTTCACGGTTTTTGTACATTCATAGCTCTAGTCATGCCAAGGTAGTAACTCCCATTTTATGAAGTAGATTAATAGAATAAATATTAGTAACGGTTAACTAAAGTTGTTATACCAAAGGCTTGAATATAAATGATCAAATGTAGCAAGATTAAATCGGCTCGGGCAAACTAAGCTAAAGCAGTTTCTCTGCCACTTTTCTGATTGCACATATTGCCACAACAATGTTTAAAGTCGTGAACACATCAGGCATAAAGTCAATTAAATCTTTGTACCATGCTTGCTCCGTGTGGGACAGAAGCATCAGAAGGCTCAAGTCAAAAACAGTCCTTTGAAATCATAGCATCCACTTTAATAGAACACAGCACCTGACACACATTTTAAGTGCAGAATTAATATTAAAATGCTGAGAAATATATTTAAAATCAACCTTTTGATGCCAGAACTAAAAGAATTTAACTAGAATACCACTAATTTACAATAGAACAAAAATTACCAATATGTCACTGAAATGAATAAAATGTGAGTGAACTAAATCATTTGAGGATTAATACTTCGTCCTAGTTACAAGCCTGTTGAGAAACAATGTACGGCAGGTGAAACTGCAGTAAATAATTAGTGGAACTCGACCACATCTGAATCTTGTAAAAACTCCCTGCCTCAGTAGTAGCGGCCATGATGGTCGTATTGACCGTGTCTCGGGTGGGTGTACGGAGCATAGTGGTGTCTGACATGTCGGCTCCTCATCACGTTCTGTTGATGGTGAGGCGGCCTGTAGTCGAACCCTGCAGAACACACATCACACGTTAATAGGCCCAAGAGCAGACATGGAAGCTCAAAGACACTTCCAATAACTGGATCACAAGACCCACAGATGCGTTGGTCCTTACAACACTTGCCATTTCTGAGCTGGGGTGGTGGGTGATATGCAGGTGGCGGCGGGTTGTTCAAGAAACTACAAGGCCAGGTATCACGAGTAAAGTCCTCTCTGTAGCCGTAGTTTCTCCTTGATGCGCGTCGGTCTGTGAAAGGGAGACGAGGGCGGTGTTAAGAGATGGACACTTTGCTATGATCCTTTTTAAATGACTTCTACTGCACAAGAACCCGACATTTAATTGTTGATGCCTTAGATGACGTAGACTTCTACAGACAATTAGCGCATTATGAATGAGCTTGAATATTTTAATGTGACATTAGTTTGACTATTATTAGTTTTTGAGTACTTTTAGTATTTTGACTGATCAAAAGACAGCAAATATTTTGTCGCTGTAGAGGTACGCTCTCCTCATTGCACTCCTGAAAAAGTAGCATGACTGTCATCAGCAAACAGAAGAGTTGAGGGAAGCGCTTCGTTTTACCACATCTACACTGACATTGAAGTCATTCTTTAAACTGTGGTTTTAACATGTATTCAGGGTCTCTGCAGATTTCAGAAAAGGACAAATTATGTTCCAATATTATATGCTACTTAATCTGTTAAACTAATCTAAATCCCAAAATAAAACAAAAAAGAAATATCAAATACCATTTGGCAACATCTGTCCACCATTGTAATTTGAAGATGGATATCAAATATATTTAAAATTGTTAGTTAAACAACTGATTTTATACTTTTTGATTGACAAGTGTTTTAATTTAGCAGGTGACAAACCCAAACACGTCCTAATGTCCAGTGGATCAATCATGAGTAATTTATTTTACCCATATTTGCTCTTTGTTAATCAAACAAGCAATCAATAGAAATAATCCAAATCCCATTACATCATCATCTGTCTTACTTGCAGCTTTGGAATTCCCACTGGCTGGCAGCTGAGCAGCAACCTCAGTATGCTCTGAAAGAAAGAACATGTCAAAAATGTAAAATAGAAAAAAAACACAGGCTTGCAGTTTTATGCCTCCACCACACAGTCATGTTTCCATGAAGTCACAGTGACCTTTTCACCACATCCTGCCTTACAGATGTGCGTGTGTGTGCGTGTGTGTGTGTGTGTGTGTGTGCGTGTGTGCGTGCGTGTGTGCGCAGTATTCCTCCTCACCCACAACAGCCAGTGGCATAACAACGCCCCAGGCCTGTGCAGAGTGCGCCAACAGCAGAGAGGTTATCTTGCGGTGGGCAAGGGCATTCCAGTGGACTCCATCCACAGTACGATGTTGTAGGGAAAAGCGGAACTGGAAGTGGAGGTCCAACACATCCATCCCATAGGCGTCAGCCAGAGTACCGCTGTAGAAGTTGGCTTCAATCACATCATAACGCAGTTGAGAAGCCTTGTGCTCAATCTGAGGTGAGGGAGGGAGAAGAGGACAATGCTTTTTTACAAGACCACTTTAGTGACTAGTTTGAACTCCACAGACACCTGTTCAACTCATACAAGTCTCCGGCTGTCCGTTTGTTGTGAACGTATTAACTACATCTATAATCATCCCAGTTTCACTATACAATTACAAGTTTGACTACGGGGATACAGTGTGATCCTGCTGTGGATGGAGACAAATAAAAATGCAATTTTCTTGAGTTCACTTTGTCCACCCGTCATCCCGCTATTGAGAGGACAGCTGGTTCGGAGGACAGTCAATGTGGATTGAATGGATGTCTGCCTAAGCAGTGGTTACACACCACTGGTATCTGGTAATGTTAATTCCCAGTAAGGTGTAAGACTATATTTTTTGACAGACTGTGCACCAATTTGACCCAACGAGATAAAATGTCCATGTCTCTTTATGATGCAGGTGTTTGGCGATGATGTACCTCTGGCACCAGGAAACCGCCTCTGATCGTCTTTCCTAAGGGCATGGTCAGATTCCATATGACCAGCGTTTCCTTCGGCACAATCCCTTTCAGCTCCGCAAAAAACATGTGCAGGTTCTCCTTGTAGTTGTCAAGCCAAGTAGAGTTGTATCTACGAAACCCAACACAGAAGGACAAAAGAGAGGGCAAAAGCACTGTGCACAAACTAGTCAAGAGAGATTCAGTGACACCTTAAACCAGGGAACAGGTCAGGCAAACCTTTCACATTCGAGCTGAGCAGTGCTTCGTCCTCTGCTACAGCTGTCTCACACTCACACCGTCATGCACCAAATCTGATCACCCTTTTGGAAATGTCAACAGTTGTTGCCAATCCAACACACACACACACGCAGAAAAAGTTAAATGTGGTCGTAATATGACGGGAGGAGTTAGCTGGGAGAACTATTTAGTTTGTGATTTGATAAATGCATGTATCCTCCAAGTCCAGGATGAATGAGTGAGATATAAAAATACTCAAAAACATATTTTGCAGTACATTCCAAAACATACAAACGGATAGCTAGATATTACTAGTTACTCCTCCACCTACCCACCTGGAAATATCCCAAACACAGGAGTTGAAGATGATTACATCAGGTTTCATGCCATTGCGCAAGTCATCAAAGATGCTTTGCATGTAGGGAGAGTAAACCCGTGTGACGAAGTAGAATCGGACTAAATGGTGGGCGGACTGGAACTGGCGAACCTCCTTGTACCCAGTTCCATTATGCATGAAATTCAACGAACCACCTTCCACCAGGCAGTCCTGTTCAAAGCTCATCTCTCCCTGAAAGAGGAAAACACAAGTTTGAGAACAACGGGAAGAAATGACGAGGGATACACAAGCTACCAGCATGGGGAAAAATAATTTGAATAAAACATGCACTGGGGGCCACTATAAAACAAGTGTAACGACTTTCCAAGTTGTGACATTGAACTTTCTAAGATCACAGCTTATAATCATGACAACATTAAAGTGCCGATCTCAAAGAAGTTCACTTAAATAATCATCAAAATCTCTGTTTACTACAGAAGAAGGTAACATAATGGTGATTGAGGCTGTGGTCCACTGATGAAAGTATTACAATATTTATATATTTGCAGAATTACAAACTGGGTCGGTGGTGATATTCCGGGGAAAAAAATGTATTACAGTTTGTCTCCGACCAAAAATGAAACATAAAACTCTAAAATCAACCAGGACTGAAATATTAAAGATTGCCACTTCAAACAAAACCGTTGACGTGTCATCTTCTTTTTTAAATAAGTATGAACACTTGCCTTGGTCTTCAGTTGTTTATTGGAGAGAAACTTCTCCTTCTGCAACAGCAGAACAAGGTCCTTATATACAGCCCTCTGAACTACGGGTGAAATACGGAGAGCATTAAACATATACAAACGTAAATGTATTAGTTATACTACATAACTTGGGTCACTACTCACTGGAGTCCCCCAGCACCACCACAAACTTGTTGTGCAGCAGCTGGCTGGCCTGCTGATGGCTCACACGCTTCATCTCCTGTTAATTCACAACCCAAAAAGTGTGTCGTTTTCATTAAGACTGTGAAAGTGACAGATCCATTTACTCACGAGACTTGATGGCATGACGTAGGTAGCACTAACGTTAGGTCTTACGCGCCGTTTACTAACGTTACAGAACGTCTTAGCCACTATTAAAGTTCGTAACTTTAATGGTGGCTAAGAAACAAACTACTAGTAACGCTAATTATGTTGCTAAGAGTTAAACTAGCATTAGCATACTAATAAACTAGCCTCAGGCTAGTTATTTGGCATACAATAAATTATTATATTATAAAAATATAAGCCAACACATAATGTTACCTACCATTGTTTAATTTAGGCGCAAATTGTAGATGTAACGTTAGCCTTATTCATAACAGATGAAGTTTTACAACTGACGTTTTTAGTTCCAGGACCCCAAAACCGCAATGGCTTCATCAACTGAACCCCGGCTCCAATTTTAAAGTTGTTTGACAACTCGAAGTTAAGGCAGTTGTTTAAATTAGTACCTTCACCTTAAACGTTTTTAAATTACTAACTTACTCCACTCTGCCGTTAATTTGGTCGACCACAGGTTTCTCCAATTTGGCAATGATTTTAAGGACTGTCGGAAATACGGGAGTTTTCGTTCGCGCCTTGAATCCCAGTCTCGCGAGACTAACTTGGTAAATTGAGACGTGCTTTGAGATGTGGTTTGATTGGCTTTGCCCTGTGTTAAGTAATAATGGAATATTATTAAACTGGTTCCAGGTTTTCCAGGTCTCAGTTAGTTGATTATATTCAAATTAAGGAGTTAATCAACAATTTTAGATATGATGAAGAACTCCATGTGTGATGTCAAGCACTGCAAATAGCATCTTCCTGAAATGATAAATCATCAAGATCATCATCTGTTTAACACCTCTCTTTCAAAGTGACAATGCCTTTACTAAAAGTCGTGTCTGATATGAAGTCGAAAAATAATCTATGGTGTTACCCTCAATTTGAGGATATGATTGCAATACAGAATTAAATTGTATGACTTTTTGAAGAACAATACACACAATCATGTAACACTTATTTGAGAGTTCTTTGCTTTGAGTTTAGTTGAGAAACAAATGTACCCAGAAAATGTTTACTAAGACGACACTGTCAATCAGATACATGATAAAGATACATACTGGATACACTTAGACATTGAAAGATCTGAACACATTTATAAAAATCCATAAATAAACTTCAAAGAACAGCATCACATGCCTTTCAAAAATGCCTCTTTATTTAATTGCTTTGGGAACTGTTGAAGAAGAGGCTACAAACAGTGAAAATAAAACATACAGAACACAACCTCTCTGTTAATCTCATACTAATTGCTTTCAGAAGTCACTATCATCCTCATAATCTATCAGTATTTGATCTTTTTTCTTCTCTTCCTCTTGCTCCTTTAATTCTTTTTCCTCCTCCTCCTCTTCATCTGTGTCATCTTCTTTCTTCGTCTCTCTTCGCTGGTGAAACTCCTGGTATATCCCAGTCAGAGCTTTCGCTGCTTCCAGAGACACTTTCAGATTTCCTATCACCTCCTTGTCTTCATCCACACTCACCACTGGAGGAAAACAGAGAACACAGGGACAGGCCGACTGTTAGACAACTCTGTGTTTCACACGTTGTCCTCACAATCGATTTGTTTTAAGAGCCTTGGTATCAAAGTTATGACACAAATACAACACCTACCATCAATTTGTTGGTCGCTGACATCATTTCCAGTGAGCAGCAGTTCCTGCAGGTCCAGAAAAGCATGTCCGACGTCCACACAGTCCTCATCGTCGTCCATCGGCTCACTGACCACTGTGAACTTTAACCTTGCCATGACACACGGACATACACACTTCAATTTCGTGGTTTGGGACTTGACACATTCATAAAGTGCAGAGAAATAAACTGATGTATTCGCTGATATTTTAAGTTGTTAATTTGAGACAAAAGACACTAATGACTCTACCTGCCCTGGTTGGGGTCAGTGCCCACCAATATGGTGTAAAGATACTGTCTGAGTGGAGCTGACTGTGAACCATCCACATATATCACTGAGAGACAAACAAGAGGATTTGGAAGTTATAAAACAATTAAAACTTTCTAGAAACAACTATTCTCAAAGCTCACCCACTCTCACCTCGTGTGAAGTTGTAATGAATCTCCTCTCCCTTTTTTGGTTTGCGGAGGGACATGGGTGTTTCTGTCGTCTCCATCGGGACGCCCAGCAGCCGGTATTCCACATAAACACGCTGCACTGACTTGTCCAGCGTCACGCGTGAGGACGGTTCAAAGGACAGGGACAGAATCTCGACTTTCAGCTTGTCACCCTGAAACATAAAACAAGTCACCTATCTATATCATACTATTTGACCTTATAGCAGATCCAAAGATATACAGATGTCAATAATAGAAAAATCGTATATTTTTTCTCTTTCATTCACACATTTTCTCTCACTCACACAGTTACTTAGTTCGTACCTTCTTCATTTTACGTTTTGGTGGAATGACGATAATGTCGCTTTGTGAGGAACTTGACTCTAAAGACTCTGGGACTTCACTGTCTCCTGCAGCAGCTGTTTAGTCAAAAAAAAAGAGAAAGAACTGGACTCATTATATTTTCAATTTGACTGGCTGGGCTGAAAACAAAAGCCCTGACAACATACGAGCTTCATATGTGTCCCAGGTATATTATGTAAAGTAAATGTCTATGTTTTGTAAAGGTTTTGAGGACAAATGTGTTCCTATACAAATATTTAAACAATGGCATAGTGAGGATTCAAATTACTACAGGAAACCCAAAGCAGGTGTGTAGGCCTATAATGTCGGCGACATGAATAGTTACCACTCTCACTCCTCTCCTCGTCTTCATCCATTGACATCTGGTCCACAGAGGGAAGGTCCTGAGAAAAATAAATTTGATGTGAGCCCATTCACCAGCCATTCTCTTCCAATTATAATTACCTGTGTTTCTTATTCCACAACATTGTATAAATATTTGTAACCTGATATTGTTTTAAGGCCTTGTGAGAGAGAGAATGAGCTCCTACCTGAGTCCTGGCATCGCTGGCAGAGCTTGTCCTCGACAGTGTGGTGGGTGAAGATCTTAAAAAAGATTGAAATTAAATGATTAAATACAATGATTCAATTTAAATGAAAAACATAACCATACTACAAATGCACAGGCTATGTGATTTAATTCGAAAATCTCAGAAAAACCAGAACCATTTCTAACAATTAGAATCTGTTGAAACATTTTGTGATGGTTGTCTCTACAAAGTTTCCGTTTTTGTCCGGCACAAATCCTAAATCTCCTAGACCTCCATCAAGCTCATCGAGTTCTACAATAACAAGATAATCAAGTGGATTTTTTAAAAGAAAAAATAAATCTGTAACTTACTTTCTTGTTGGCAAATGAGAGGGTGTGGTCAGTCTAGGATCAGGCGTGAGATGGGGTGTGTCAGGTGACCTCTTGGTGGATCTCTTCCTACCTGTGGCCAGTGGTTTCACCAAGGTGGGCTCTGGTAGTATGTTCTGCAAGCTTTTCTGTTTTACAGCTGGAGGCCGCGGCTGTAAAGCAGACGAATACATAAGTAAATAAAATAGTTTCTATGCTTAAATGATGATGAAAACACACTCATGCTAATTTTGTTGTTGCTTAAAACCATACCAAAGTTTTAGTCTCTTTCTGCACTGCTTTGGATTCTCTTGGCTCAAGTTGCTGAGTCTGCAGTAAAGCCACAGAAGAACAGGCATTAAGCTAGGGCACAGGAATTTGTCTTTGAGCATATGATACATTTTAACATTTACACTTGGATTTTTGAGGATTTCTTTACCCAAAAGTCATGATGTCAGCAAATGAAACGCTCCTTAGAGGTGCATTTACTTTGAAAGAGGATTAAGGGTGACATTGCCATTTATCACTTTCAAACAAATCAGTTCTCCAGAGCATCACAAGTAACTCCCAAACCTTTTGACTCACTAGAATAAATATCACCTTCGCTCTGGGCTTGGCTATAGGCCTCTGTGATGCTTCTGCCTCCTCTCTCCTCCTCTCCTCCCTCTCAGATCTTTCCATGTCCTGTCTTCCCTGTCTACCCAGCACAGTGTCCACCGATGGTTGGAAGGGGTACTTCCATTTGATCAAGACCCTGACCATGCCCCGAGGTCCACCAGCCGGATCCCTCAGAACATAGTCACCTGGCCGGACAGAGAGAAAAACAGAGAAAAACAATTCTAAACTGATGATTGGGTAGTTTAGGTTTTGATATGTGACGTAATTATGTGAATATAAGATGTTGGCTTCCACTTTCATCTATATTAATGCTTCCTCTAGTGGGAGATGAATACTAATAATGTAATTGTGTTACTTCTCTCTCCCTTACCTCTGATCTCCCTGCCAGTAGCCAGGGCTCGCAGTGGGATGGGGGTCTTGGCCAGATAGGCTGGTGGTATCTGGTCATCGCTGTCATCAAACACATACACCCACAAACTGCTGGACCTGGACAAAAGCAGAGTTGAATACTGTCAATATTTTGCAAAAATAGGGATTATCTAAAGCACTAACTTTATAAAAACGGAAATATTTAGATCATTCTCAAGTTTATTAGGATATTCATTCATTTAACCCAGTAGTTAACTTATCTCCTTAATAAAAAGAAAAATTTAAAAATGTAAGAAAGCTGTGTCACAACAAGTGAATGCCCTCTTCAATATTATCTGAATTTCTAACATATTTCCAAAATATTACATATTTGATCATACCTCAGGTAGTGCAACACATCAGCTGTTACAGCTAGTGGGTAGCTGGTAGTATCACTGAACACCGGGTCAGTGGTGGACTGGACTGTTTGAGAGACGTGAGGCGGCAGGTCATAGAACCTGTATGTCAGGTAGGCATCAGGAAGAAGTCCAGGCCAGCGAGCATTAAGGCCCACACAACGTTCCAACATAACCACCAACTCATTGGGGATCCCCCCACCGTAGTCATGTAACTCCTGCAAACAGCATTAAAAAAAAAAAAGAATTGTTCTGATCCCAAAATAACATATCCCTGTTACACAGGTTAAACCACAGACCTCACTGTGAACAGTTTCTTTCCGGACTATTCTTGAGGAGAAAGACGTTTTTTTTAAATGTTCACTGTGAGGCAGAGTAAATGTGACTGTCTCCAAAAAGTCACATAAAAAAAAATCACAGTCTGAAGAAATAAAGCCAAAACAACCTCCATGGCTACGCACCACTTCAGGTAAGTGACAAAATATCACCCTATTTTACCTCATGACCAGCATCCTGCCAGCCAAGAGAGATGTGCACAGGACCCCTCTGTGCCGCTGTTCTCCTGTCTGCTCCTCTCTCTGCCACAGTGTCTATGGGCTCTGCAGGATAAAACAGGCGCACCCAGAAATCCACAACACCAACAAGTGCACCCTCGGAGCCTTGGACGGAGACAGATTTTTCGGACAGATTTTTCAGAAAAG